TTAAAATGGCATTTTAGCTTAAAGAGCTTTCTGAACTCTTTACTAGTAATCAAGGTTTTTAAGCTTCATTAGTATTTGGAAAATAAAATACATGGGTAACAAATTAATTTGCATAGCCCGTCAGCAATATAAATTATTTTTATTATTCCGCAGCATTTCCTCAAAACTTTTGGAGTATATACGGTTATATACGGTTAAACTTTGCTTTACAGTAAAGAAAAGAGACCACAGATCGTATACGTAATATGTAAAAACTCGTACATGGTTCGATTCTTAGCTGCGAGTATAAGCTTAACGACTAAACTTTACCTATGAGCTTTTGCACGCTCAACCGAGTCATCGGCTACGGTTTGATTGGATTTCTCTATAACATTCGCAAATAGAACTTCCGAACGAGTTGCATAAATTACACTACTCTTAAACTTTAACTAATAGTCCAAGAACCTTACCCTTAAAAGGAAAGTTAAAAATAAATTAAAAATGTGTATAAAACACCTGGCAACCCTGGCCCATTACCAAGGAGACCGAAAGCACAGAGAAGCGACGCAACCAAGACGAAAGCTCTCAATCCGTAGTCAATTTTCCGGCACAACAGACGCAACATTTGCCAAAAGAGCAACGCGCGAGCTGCGTAGAGCGGAAAAGTAAAGTTCAGTGAAACCAGAACTGGCTAAAAGTTGCAATGAAAATTTAAACAAGCCACTAACAAAACAGAAAGCAATCCAATTAACGCCAATGCTCAATGAAAATGTGAAAAGAAAGGCGCAGCAAATGTGAGGCCGGACGAGGAAAACTGTTTGGGGAGCAAGAACATTTGTGCAAGAAAACTAAGTGCAATAAACTGTGAATAATCCCAGAATTAGCGGCCTGTGCAACGGGGCGAAGTGGGTGGGTGGAAAGTGGATTCGGGTCCATTCTATTGCTGAATGTCCACATTTATATTATGCAAATTAATTTCAATTGGTTTGCACTCTGGACTCTGCTGCTGTTCCTGCTGTTGCGGCTGTTGCGGCTGTTGCTGCTGTTGCTGCTGTTTTGTTGCTCTTGGTCACGGTAGTATTGTGTAGTATCCGTCGTAGTACTACTACTACTACTACTATCACTACTACAAGCTGCAATCCACGTCCTTCCTGTTTTCGTATACACAAATTCGGCAACAGAGTTTTTCCAGCACCATTGCCAGTCCCCTGCGCGTTTCCATTTTCATTTCCGTTTCCCCTAATAACAAGTGTGTGCGTGCCTGACTTGATTTACCGGCTTTTCTCCGGTTAAAAACTATGAAAATTGTTTCCCAAGAATTTTTTAATCATACGAGAACGTAGCTTACAAAAAGGACGAGCTCATGGTAAGCTTTACGTGGAAAAGTAATTAAAATGCCTGGCAAGGAAAGTTTGTGCTTATGGCAAAGAAGGTATCCGGAAACTATCCCGAAGATGCCAATTACAAGTCGTTTAAGTTCACCTTTCAGTGGGTAATTTTTTAAATAGTTCACCCAACTTGATTGAAAGTTCAGTCCGGCACTCGATCACTGGGAAACGTTCGACATTTAATTTAATTGAAGGTGCAGTTCCTCAAACAGATTGTGATTGATGCAGTCAGCTAAACAGTTGAAGATGTATCACCCACTTTTCAGTAGTCACCGACATTTGAAAGCCATTTTCAGCTTCCACCAAACATTTTACAAAATTGGTATAGCTACATGAACTTAACTACAAAGACAGAAGTAAATTTATCGGAATTATTGAATGTGAACTTACCTTTACTTTTTTTTTTTCCTAACCTTTAAAGGAAACACGATCTCAACATGTTTACGAAAACAGTCCAAAAATTGCCCCATAAGAGCAGACTTTCAATCAAGACAAAATCTGAGCGCTCCCTTCGCATCCGAAATGTACGAAATGCAGTGGCCGCAGCTATAGTGCTGCTTATTAAAAGCCGACTTAAAGTATAAATAAACCCTCCGGTTGACAATAATATCAATTACAATACCGTCGCCCGGCAGAGTCAGCTTCCAACAATGGAAGACCTGCACGAGACTCTCATTAAAAGCCACACAGGCACACAAAGGCGGTTCGGAAAGAAGCCAAAAATACAAAGTTGTAACAGGGCAAGACAACATTTATATAGTGCAGCAGTCAGTCGGTTGATGCTAAAGCTCGGCCACAAAACCTCGTCAGCACAATCACAGCAATTGCTGGCAGTACCCAGACGGGGAATGCACTGGGAAAAAAGACGGGGAATGCAGGCCATCGAACTGAGCGAGCAAGTAATGCTAGAAAGTGAACTAATAGAGTTGAAAGAAAACTAAAGCCTTGCAAATTGTTAGATAGTCGCAAATGCTCACCTTAGTTATTTGGATTTTTGACCAATTTCACGAATATTTAAATTTCCTGAAATATGATCAAATATAGTATTTTCGTTCTCTGTGGAACCAAAATGGGAACGGGACTGGGACTGGGACTGTGACTGGGACTGGGACTGGGTTTGAGAATGGTACTGGGAGCGATGGTGGGGAGTTCCGCAATAATGGGGAACCTCTGACAGACCAGACAGAGAGTAGTCCATGTGAGCCGGGACTGCGGCGGTAGTTGCACAATTTTGCACAAAAGCCAAAGCATAATCATGAATAATGAGCGTTTGTGATAAGTGATAAATGCCCGGTGGCAAATGCACAGGGAATTTGAATAAGATGGAAATTGTATTCAACGGGTCGGCCTGGGAAAACTTTTCAAATGGATCGATATTACAAAATTTGCATTATGCGATTTTCGGTTCAATATGTCAGATGTGTACATATGCTAAGATTGGGGCGCCACCAAAGTGAGATTTAATTAAATAATTCTACACTTCTCACATCGTTTTTTAAAGTATATTGTAAAAATTTATGTCTTTCCTTCATTTATTCTCGAATCTTCTGTATTTGACGACATACGTTGTATCACATCTTGGAAACTCCACTAGGTCCTTTGTTGGTACACTTGGCATCGCAGAAACAGGTTCCCATCCGATTTCCCACCGGGCAGCTCTGAGCCCGTTTTCCTCCGCCACTCGCCCGACTTTTCTGTTGTCTCAGGCTTTTGCTCCGGTCTTCCAGGCGGCCGATTTGACCACCCCTTGGACTGACAGTATAGTTCGAATCGGGAATCGGTGCGGTTCAGTTCGCTTTGGAAATGCGCGCCAAAGGTGTTGGACTCAAGAAAATAAAGAAATAACAAGAAATAACAAAGCATTTAGGAGCGCGGCATATTTAGACGTGTGTGTATTTAAGAAAATGCTGCGGATTCTGTGGAAAAAATTAAATTAAATTGGGAGTTTTTCTTTGACTCAATGTGATTGGTGTTTGTCGCAGTTCTTCTCTCTGGGCTTATTTACGCCGTAGTTTGCCGTCTAGTTTTGTCAACTTTAATTGAAATTAATTTACTTTCTTCACATACTATCTGCCACATACAGATAGCAGTATCCGTATCTGTGTCCACATGCCGCTAAGTGAACAGCCTTGTATGCGATCAGATTTGAGCGCAGAGGTCAGCAAATAAACAAATTGTCGCACATTATGGTTTGTTAGACAGCCGCGATTCATATGCAAAATAAGAATTGAATGGGAGAGGGCCCATCATGACTAGAAGTGTGCAAATTCTACAATTCCTGATACCCATCTGGCTGGCATATCGTCGTAAAAGCGCCGCCCTTTTCGGGTTTTCCCCAGACTGCATTCTCAATCACCGAATGCAAATCGCAGCGTGATGAACTCAGTCAAACTATTCTTTTTTATACACGTATACATACATATAGCCGCATAGATATTCGTATTTATAGAATGGCGAAAAACGCGATGTGATTTGCATACAAATCACTTGAATACCCGCATTTAGTCGCCCAGACGCCGCCTGGAATTTCAATAAGTTAAAAGTTTGCAAACTAATCAAAATCACCGCCTCTTCTTCCAGCACTTGACAATTATGTAAAGCTCCTCTCGCCGAAAACAAGTTTGCTAAGAACAAAAAATGAATAAACTCGTGGTACCGTAAAACTATCAAAAACTGAAGAACAAGTGGCAACAACTCAACTCACAGAAAACAACAAACGAAAACTCTCCCAAAGTGCTAGCAATTAAAAATAATTTCTCAGTTCCCTAACGAGCAAGAACAGAGGAGCACAAGATATAATAAAACAGCCACCGAATCTCGAATGTCGCGCAAAATGTTGCAAGTGCCGGTAGCAACACTTGTGTTGCTGACGCTGCTGCCGATTGCCGATGTTGCCGCTGCCGCTGCTGCTGCTGCAGATGCAACAGCAGCAACAGCGGCATCCACAGCGGCATCCACAGCGGCATCCACAGCGTCAACCGGAATCGATGCCAGCCTGAAGAATGCCAAGCTGATTGAGGCCAAACTGCTGCCCGACTTGGCCATCCTGCAACGCGTTAACCAGGAAGACGAAAAGTGGCAGCAGGTCTACCGGTTCATCGACGACGGCTTTCCCGTCCTCGAGTTGTACGGCTACAAGCCAAAAGCAGGTGAGTTTGCAGCATAGGAAACTTAAGAGGCACAACATCCTTAACCATGTTTATTATTAATGCTTATTTATAACGAATATTATTCCTTTCATATAATGAAATGATTTCTGGAGCTTAGAATCCTTTGGGTATTTAATTTGGGCATATTGAGCACTGCATTTGTAGATATAACGTGCGAAATAACTACTAAGGGAACTGAACCAATATCATTAATTTATTATTAACAAATGACTTTTGAATTTTAGAATCCTATGGGTATTTAATTTAGGCATATTGAGCATTGCATTTGTAGATATAACGTGCGATATAACTACTTTGGGAACTGAACAAATATCATTAATGTATTATTAACAAATGACTTTTGAAGCTTAGAATCCTTTGGGTATTTAATTTGTGCACAGTACCACTTAGAGAACAGAACAAATTTCATTCATTTATGATTACCAAATGCTTTTTGAATACTAAAATGCTTAGCATATTTAACTTGTTACGGAATAACTCCACAAGCTACAACAATTTTTTATAATTCACAGTCTTAAAATGCTCAATCCTGGCGGTGCTGTTGAGCAACAAGCCATTGGTAAACATGGCAAAGACCCATCCTAGTCTTAGTATTTCTAAAATGTGACCCCGGTCCAGGCGAAAGGCATTAATGTCACTTTTATCAACAGTAGCCTTCACGACGTGCTTGTAGAGCCACAGCATCTGTGTCTGAGAAATAAATTGACCATACACATTTTATTTCGTGCTAAAAAGATTGGATTGCTCACCTGTCGCTGAGGTCTGAAACTTGCTTCAAATTGACCAAAAGTTTTCTCCACGGAACTAATGCTCACATTTATATGGAGCAGGGCCACCGGATATATGATATCGGTCAGCAGAGACTTCCCAAAGTGTATGGCTGACTGCTGATCGTATAGAATCAAGTGGAAGCTGGCCATGAATAGGAAAAAGTTCTGCACTAAAGCCGTCCACACAAAAGACCTGGCCAAACAGTCGAAGGTGAACCTAAGTCTGATGAGGTGTCTGTAGAATTCGAAGAGTTGGTATGATTTCCTTCGATGGTGATGCACCTTGATGTCGTAGCAGGCATGAAGTAGCACGATGCCCAAGTAGACAACTAGCGATAATAACATGGGCTGAATGCATATAAAGAGTATTTCAGATAGTCCCAACAATATGTCAACATTTTGGTTGAAGCCCAGAACCACTATTTTGTTTCTGAAAATGGGCGCCTTTGAAGCGGCAATCGTTCTATAGGCTTGGATGCCAAATAGAAACCAGTTAATTCTCGGCGCCCTTCCGCAAAGTCTCTCGTAGCTATAATAGATCTGTATAAACTCGTTCAGAACCTGTCGAATTAGCTTTTGATGATGCCTGCAATTGGGATGTAATAACAATACATTAATGATATTCGAAGTGAGTTATGTCATTGCATAGCTTCACAAGCCTTTATAGAACTTTAAGCAAACTTCAACGCAAAACTGTACCTGTAGTGATAGGCAATTCCCGTGCAGATGAAAACATTCTGATATTTGGCGAGTGTCAGTCCTATTCTGTAAATGAGCTGCAGTGGCCTTTCACTGCCAGGCGTTAGATCCCTCAATCCATCGCGAAACTCCGCCAGCCAGAATATGACGTTCATCAGAAAGGTAATCAGCAGAAATGGCCTCAGCCAGAATCTGTGCACCGTCCCCACCAGAAAATTAATCTTCCGGTTCACTATCAATACCCGCCTGCCCTCGACGTATCTGTAGATGTTGCAACCCGAAAGCGTTGTCAGCACTTGCAGCAGCTGCAGAACGCTCTTGAGGCAGGACATGGCGCAACTAACTTCCAGACAGCCTGGGAAACTCCGAAAGTAGCAAAATGGAAGTGCGTGACGTTGACAAATTACTTCGTTCAGCTGTCCCAATGTTGATCATAAACAAAAATAGGGGACAGCGCCAAAGGCGAGTATCGTCGACTGTCAAATACCCATTACTCAGTCAATCTCAGGGCGTAGACATGCACGCAGAGATAGCACACATGGCATGGGTTACATTAAGAGCTCGTAATTATCATTTAAAATTACTAAATGAATTTATCCCATTTGCACGTGTCAGTTTTTGCAGTGATCCTGAATAAGAATATATACTTCATACGGTCGGAAACACTTTCTTCTACCTACTACATTCTTTTTAACGTATCTAATATACCTAATTTTTACCATTTCCATTTGGGTTGATACATACTCGTATATGTTGATGCTTAATAGATATGCTAAACGAGATTAAAGTTAGCAACAAACAACAAAAAAATTAACATCGTAGAGAAGCATAAATGTATTGAAAGGGCGACTTATTATATGTATATTTAATGCCGGAAAGAACTTTTTACTGTGAAAGAGAATAAAAATAAACAAGTTAAAATATATTGATATTGAATTTGCGATACAGATTATCGCAATTATAGCACACATAAATAAAATACAATAGAGAATGCTGTAGTCGAGTTCCCGACTATCAGATACCCGTGAATCAGCTAGTGGAAGTGCGAAATTTCTGTATAGCGCTAGAAATTGGCAGGAAAATAATAAAATGAAAATATTATAATAATATTAATAATAAAAATAATAATTATTTTAATAATAATAATTATTATATAATAATATAGTAATTATAAACATTTTGGGTGACTTTAGCAAACTAATAAAATATTTAAAAAAAATGTAAAATTTACTTATACGGACGGACAGACGGACAAGGCAAGATCGACTCTACTACAGGTCCTGATTAACTTGGTCCTGGAAAATGTTCCTACTACCTGTTACATACTTTTCAACGAATCTACGAGCAACGGGTATAACAATTAGCAATTATTAGGTTAAATGGACTAATAAAAATGCTTACTGGTACAATTGCTGTATGGTTTTGAAGCTTGTAATCCCATATAATTGAATACCAGACATAGTAATTAAGAATCATTGAAAATAGCTATCTTCCAACATAACAGTCCAAAACGCCTATACCATACTAATACAGCCTAATTAAAGCTGAATTTCAGCGGACTACACACCCACCAAAATATATAAAAAGTTATGCACGCCGCGGCAGGGCCCAAAGTTAATTACTTGATTAGCATGCAGACAGGTGGGGGATTCAGGAGTGGTGAGCGCAGCACTTAGCCGTAAATGAAACGAAAACAGTTTACATTTTTAAGCGAGCAATTCCCTGGGTAACTTGGTAACTCTCCATCTCCTTTGCATGTGCGATTCCGGCGGACATGTTCCGGACAGACCTGCCGTACACGTTGATTGTGCCCAAAATCGATGTGCGGAGCATTGAGAAGCCGCGGCTGAAGGAGTTCATGTTGGAGCATGTGGTGCCTGGGAAAATCTTCGACAGCTACAATGGTAATGGGAACAGCAAGGAGGAGGAGGAGTCCTTCGGCAATGGGAACGGACACAAAATCGTTTTCCGTAAATTGGAAAAATCCCACAACAATGTTTGGCTACTCAATGGCCAGCAAATACTCCACAAGCTGCGTATCAATGAGAACCTGATGGCCATTGCAATTGATGGTTATTTGGGCGATAGGAAGTCGCCCTACTCCAAGCGCAATATCCAGGAAACGAACAAGTGAGTAAGGCCAGCGGCACCCTTTCCAACACAGTGGGCCGAAACTGTGCCATAAATGTGTGCATTTTGTAATGGATTTATTATTTTAAAGTGCATATATATACATATATTGGCAGCATTTCAGAAAGCTTGAGCTACCACGAAGAGTATTAGGTTGTTTTAATATTTTTATTGTAAGTTTTTTAACGCATCCTTTTTAGTGCTTACGCAGAACCACTGTAGAGCACTTCTGCTGAGCTCCTAGTCCTAGTTTGTTTGCGGTCAAAAGTGCACTCATGCGAAATTTATCAGGCGGCAAACAAAGTTTTCGCTGGTCCAACTTTTCGCACACACACTCTCGAACTTTTGAGGGTTTCCTCTTCCGCAATGCTAACCGAGGCCATCTCAATCTCGATCTGTGGACCTAGTTCCACCACATTCCCATAATCATCCACTGAATATTCGTGGCACATAAAAACGAATAGATCGATGATTTTCCATTTAAGAAAGTACCAAATATTTACTTTAGGAGTTTAAAAAGTTGCGGCACTCAGGGAGTAAAAAATACATTATGCTATAATACTAGAAACTTAGGAACAAACCTTGAGATGTGTGACTATTTTTCCCTGTGCATCATGCAGCCGCTACAATGACCCCCAACCGCTGGAGCAGCCGAACATTACGAATGCACATGCAAAAGTGGAGCCCGTTATCAAGGAATCCAAGGCCAGTCCGCTGATGTCCTTTTTGGCAAACATGAAGACCGGCACCAAAGTGTTTCAGCACTTCCTCTCCAAGAGCAATCTGACCCGCATCATGGACGACAACGCGTATACGGTGCTGATTCCGTCGGACAACGCCTTCCAGCGCTGGCATCCCATCGACTGGGGATTCTATCCGTTCTCCGTGCCGGAATTCACCGAGTCGGTGCTTAGGAACCACTTCCTGCCCATGCAGCGACCCCTGCGGCTGGCCGACGTTCGGAATATGGACGAGGTCGTCGTGACCACCATGGGTGGCGAGGATGTCGTCTTCCACGGCCAACGTAAGTGGCTCCCATAAATAATATTCCCAAATTCAATTTATGACAACGGTATGTGGCCCTTCCTTCGATCGATAGCGACCCCCACGGTGAATAATGTGAGCATTATGTCCGACTACAACCTCTCCAATGGCAATCAGGTGTTTATTATCTCCGAGGTGCTCTTCGTCACCGAAGCAGTCGTCTCCAAATTGCACCAGGTAAGCTGATTCAAATGATTCCAATGATTCAGCTCATCATATTTTATAACAACATTTTATATTGTGCTTACTCCATTTCTAATAGATGCACAAGGACAAGGAGACACCTCCATTGCTGGCATTCCCCTGGTTCGGAGCACAATTCCTTTCCCATTCATTTTTGGCTTTGGAGAGAGATCCCCGATTTACCCAGATTACCAGGTGAGCCCCTGAATTTGTATCTAAGAAATTAAATAACACAATCCTTTGCAAAAAGATATCTGAACAGTGCCGAGATTGCCCCCCACATTTCCGGAGCCAATTACACGTTCTTTGTGCCAGAGGATCGGGCCTTCGAGAAGCTAGGATTCGATAAACTATCAGACGAGGTCATGGTGAGTGCTGAGTGCTGAATATATCCCCCCCGGTTGAGCAGGGATAACCCAATACTTCTAGGCCTCACAACGCGGCGTTAAAATGTTGCTGAACCACTTCGTCAAGGGACGACTGTATAACCGGGATCTGCGCGACAATGAGGTGTTTGAGACGATCGGCGGCGGCCACATAAAGATCACCCGGAACCCGGGTAGCAACTATACCAGCGTGAACAATGCCCAGATTACGGAGAGTGAGGTGTTCGTATACAACTTGGGCACCATGTACTACCTGGACGACATCCTGTACTCCCACATGCTGCGCGACTTTGTGAGCAAGTCCACCAAGACGAGATCCAACCGGCACGGCAGCGATTCCGGCGGAGGATCACGGAGCACCTCGCGGCCCAGCGACGTGGAGATCGTGCCCAACGAGTTCGAGGGGGAGCACAATGGCGGGGACTATGCCATCCACGGGGATGACGAGGACTTCGAGGATGAGATTATCACGCCCAAGGCGCTGCCCGTCCAGATCTATGAGTTGCCCAAGTAGAGAGTGGGATCTTGATAGCTGGATTAGTGTCAGAATATATATATCGCGCGTGTAAATGCGAAAATATCACAGGCGGCACTTTGAATTGTTTTTGGGATCCCTCTATCGGGCTTCGAATCTTTTATCAGTCTATTTGCGAAGTAGAAGACATTCCAGGCCCTTCGACAATATGTTTATTGTCGCTTTTTTTATTTTGGCAATTAATTAGCAATATGTATATTATTTTTTTGCAACTGATCTGGGTTAGAGGAGCGAGTGTTAGAGGGAGGCGAGCGCTTAAAGCGTTTTTGTATAGTTCTGGACTAATTTTGTAACGAATTTTTCTAGTTTAGTTCTTAGTTCTTCATGTATATTTTAAGATTAGCATTGAACAAGGCGGTGAAACGAAGTATACTACAAAATCAACATCAAGAGCAACAGCAGCGACAACAGCAAATATATAAAATCTAATCCTAAAGAAATATCAGCGATTTAGACAAAGCTTGTAGACATAGCGAGCAATTGCAGCCAAACAAATTACTACAAATATTTAAAGAGTAAACGAGTAGGAATAAATCATTGCCGTAATATTGGATTTAGAAGCGAAATTTCAAGAAATATAAACATATACGTATACTATGCAAATTAGCGCTCATCAGTGTTTATGCTTTTTTGAGTCTATCCATATGAGGGAGCATAGCGAAAACATATCGGCTAAATCGGCTAAGTCGGCTAAATCTGCGAATCGAGCCTCGAGCGACCAAAATTTACGCGGAGAAAATCCTTGGAGGGCATTGGTGGCGGACGGGAGCGAGGCAAGATATATCTATAAAAACGAGTATATAACGAACAGATATTGTATTTTTTAATTTAAAGGTATTGATATTTAAAGTATCTGTGTATATGAACAACAAAGCAATGAGAACGAAGCATCCAATTTTATAATAGTTTGTTAAAATAAAAACAAAAATCTTCCAGGAAAACAACTGCAGCCGGATTTCATTTCGTTGAACTATTTTATTATGAATTAGTTAAACTCAATACATATGTAAGTATGATTATATTTATGTACCGATTTCGAGTATTGTATATGCGCTTGTATATATATGCATGTAAATAATACCTGTAACTCTAATTGACTTAAACAA